CGCATGCCCATACCCTACTCCAGGTGCCCGCCATCAGGCATGCATTCAGGACCGCAGGATCCATCATCGATCCTGATGGCGGGAGGGCAGAAAAGCCTGATACTTTTTTACCTTACCCTATAGTGGCAAATGCACAAAGCAGAAGTTTATACTAGCCTTGCCTCATTCTTTGTAATAAAGGTGATGTGTCCCAGCTGCTGTCGAGGGTGATTGCACTCGGTCAGCAGACCTGCCTGGGAGCAGACACTAGTGTGTTTCTTTATGCTTCACATTTTTCCTGTAACCCCTAAAGATTTTTTTTTAAATTCTGTGCTCCTTCAGCCCCCCACCCCTGCCCACATTTGAAGTTAACGAACAGTTTTCATTGTAAATTTAAAGTCACAGTGAATGTGACTTCCAGAACATTGTAAACACTGACATCATGCTTTGAGCCCAGCTAAATCTAAGTACACCAATGACTATTTTAAAAGTACCTGAAGAAGCTTCTTAACAAAGGGGTATTTTTATAACTTGTGGTCAAGCATCCCTTTTCCTCTTGATTTTTTTTTTAGAGATTTATTTATTTATACAAGAACTGGGGTACAGGCCAGATGCGCAGGAGGGTGAGAGGATTCACCAGAGACAGAGTGGGGAGCAGAACAGGCAGACCGATGAAATACACTGCTGAGGGGAGCAGCGGGCGAGGCAGGAGAGGTCTGCTCGCCATGTGGGTTGCTCTGAGGCTGGCGGGGATTGAACTGGTGCTGCAGAGGCTACGGACAGCTTCACAGCGCTGCGTTCAATCGCCTGTACCACCACAGGAGGCCCCCTCTTTATTTTGAGGGGACAGTGAGAAATGGGAAAGAGGGCCTTGCAAACATGGAGGTGGCAAAGGGGGTGCTGAGTGATCTTACACGGATACAGACTATCTTTGGCTCTGGAAGCTGATGCCATTAACTCACCCCATGGCAGCACGCTCTTCAAAAAAGGTTTCATGGATGCCAGGGGCCTGAGATTGCTGACTGAATAGTACACGTTTATTGAACACAGGTGCTGGAGTTTCCATGCGGGTGAGGGTTGTCAGGAAATGATCCCAGGTGGGCGAGGTGGAAGCAACCGTAGAGCCCCCGGGCCTGTCTCCCACCTTCAGATGGTGACTGAGCTATTGATCTTGTATCCTGGGATTTTGCTCAAAGAAAGTGGCCCATGACAGGGTTTTTAGATCAGTGGTTCTCAATTAGGAGTAGGTGTGCCAAAGGGGACACTTGGCAATGTGTGGAGACATTTTTGGTTATCACATTTGAGGAGAGAAGGCAGCTGCAGGCATCGAGCAAGTAGAGGTCAGGGCTGCTCCTGAACATCCCGTGGTCATGGGCCATCTCCCTCCACAAGGACATTTCCAGCCCACAATGTCAGTCATGCCAAGGCTAAGAAATCCTGCTTTTAGATGTTCTGGTTTCCTCATTAAAATCTGTCCTGCTGTAAGTTAAGTCTTTATTTTTCGGTTTGGTGCTTTACAAGGTAATAAGAGTACAACATCTAAGAGGCAGCATAAGACAGCAAATGGAAAGAAGCCAGATACATCTCCTATTGCCCATGTAAGCCTCAGTCTCTTCATCTGTAAAATGGGGATACCAATACCTGGCTAGCACAGTTCTTGTAAAGATTGAAGACAGTCACAGCACCAGGTTGATACAAGACGCATACTCATGTGTGGAAGACACCCGTTTTATCCAACAGCACTTATATCACTCTCTAGCCTCTTTTTTGGGATGTCTATGCTCTTGCCCCCCCTTAGATTTGAGGTACATTTAATTTTTTTAAAGATTTATTTATGCATACAAGAACTGGGGTACAAGCCAGAGGTGCTGGGGGTAGGGGTTGAGAGGATTCACCAGAGAGAGAGTGGGGAGGAGAACAGGTGGATCCGCTGAAATACACTGCTGAGGGGAACAGCATGTCGTACAGGAGAGGTCTGCTGCGCCATCTCCCCGGCTGGCGATGGAACTCATATTGCAGAGGCTGCGGATAACTTCATGGTGTTGCTTCTTAACCCCTTGTGCCACCAGGGAGGCCCACACTTAAATTTTTTTTATCTTGAACTACCCTTACTGTGTACATGCCTCCCTCCCCTTCTAGACTGTAGGTCTTCTGAGATATTCTTATACCTTCCTGCAGAGGGTCTTACACTTGGAAGATATTCAACAAACTTTTGTTGACCTGAAACAGCCAGAATAAATCTCACTTAATTTTCCCTTTATTGTAAGATTTAATCCTTTCCCTTGGATCATTTTAATGAGTTTAGTAAAAACATTTCACTTCCTTATAAACCAGAGACACACTAGGGGTGAGGGAAGGGCAGGAGGGGGGGATGGATTAGAGTCAAAATAGGGGGGGTTGGAATTATATGGGGACTATAACCAAGATTAAAATGCATACATTGTGCAAAAATGAAAAATGATGTAAAAAATATAACATAAAACATTAAAAAAATTCATTTCCTGAAATGCAGCCTCCATTGCATGCCTAGTTCAATGTGAATGTGGGCTCGATGATGCCTAGAATTCTGGAAGCTGCCTTCCTGAATCAGGATCATGTTGGGCATTTCTGCAGGGGGAGGAAAGTCTTGGGGTGGACAACCTTTCATTCTCAAAATGACGGGATGGTTGAAGTCTTGTATTTTCCTTTATGAGCCCCTTGGGCTAATACTTCTGAACTGGCTTTCATTTGACCCTCTCTGCTGAGCACTGGAGTACTTTGATTCCTCTCTAGTGGGAGGAGAACATTTTTGATTCACTGATCAGGTTTCTACTCTATTTTAATGTCTAGAGTGAAGCCAAGAATAATGTATATATTTTATTTTATTTTTAAAGATTTATTTATTTACCCATACAAGCACTGGGTGCAGTCAGAAGTCTGGCTCTCCAGAGCCAGAGCAGGGAGCAGAACAGGCAGACTGACGAAGTACACTGCTGAGGGGAGCAGCGGGTGGCAGGAGAGGTCTGCTCCATGTGGGACCCTTGCCGGGTGGCCAGGGATGGAACCTGAGCTGCAGAAGCTGTGGGCAGCTTCACAACCCAGCGCTCACCGCTGCGTCACCAGGACGGCCCATAATGTATATATTTTAAATAGTGCTGATGAATAAATGATGGCATGACATTTTTTGTCCTTTGCCTTCTGACAATTTCCCTTAGAATGTACATTTGTTTGACGGTCTACCCTGAACTGAAAGAGTACCTATTTCATTGTTTGACAAGCTGAAGATTTTAGTGAGCAAAATAGAATGAAGTTCTCTCCTTTTGAACGTGGTTTAGATGCTATAGCACACATGTGAAAGTCTTCCAGAGTTTATCAGGTAGTTGAGGGACCCATGTGTAGGGGAGGAGCAGGGGCTTCTGTCAGAGTCCGCTGTGGTATTTCAGGACTTGGTTTGGAGGCCTGAAGGAGAGCAGTCCTGCAGTGAATGTGTTTTGACTGTGTCCCCTTTTGAACTGAAGGTGTGTCTCCTGTTTCACCATCCGCCCCATTAGTGTGGGGTTGTGGGAATTGGTGTGTATTTTGTGGAAGAATAACAAAAACACTACTCTGCCTGTTTCCTTAAAAAGTGTGACTGTTCACTTTCAAAAGGTATAGGTTACTGCTGATTTGGAAAGAGGATCTCTCTTCTTTGAATGCTTTCAGACTAAAGGAAAGTGAGAATCTATTTACATAAGTTAAAATGCCAAACCAAATCTCTCCATGCAAATATGGACCACCCAGGGGCATTGTAAAGGCCAGGTTTGGGGTTTTGAATGCAGATTTTCTTGCTTCCTCTTTTAAGCTTTCTAATATTTTTCAAATGCTGCAGAGAAATAATTGGCATATCAAGCAAGAATGAAATCCAGTCTCATGGCATAGACTTTAAAGAGGGGAACTGTGTGCATTTCCCTAGAGTGCTGCTGTTTCTTAAAAATAAATATGAGTTACTATAAATTCAAGGTCAACAAGTTGTGGATTTTAGCTTAAAGTAGATGGGAAAGTTGGGTTAAGAAACAATTGTACGGTGGGAGATACTGGCTTTAAATGTTTCCTTTCCCTGGTACATTCTGCCCAGGGACAGTTCCTCCACGTGTAAAGATGGGTCAGTCAGGGTATTGGAAATTTCACATGGACAGAGTGTTAAAAGATAAGGCATATTAAAGTTTTTAGTTTTTTGCATGCCAACATGAATTTGAAAGGAAAGGACCAGGTAAAATTTTGGCCTCCTTTCTCAACTGAGCACTAGAAGTAGAGATTTGGGAGAACTGGCTTTGGTAAGAATTCTTACCTTTACTGGCTTCTGCCAGTTTCCCCAGGATGCCATCTGCAGGCTCTGGGAAGAATGGGGTGTCTCAGGAGAACACCAGAAATTGTGGAGGAGCAATAATAATTTTCCCTCTACTCTTTCTGGTGAGTGCTTGGCTGAGACCCTTTTTTCTTTTTTTTTTTATGAAAGAAAATGAATCATTTATTGATAATACTGTTATATTATCACATTATATGATATGCATGTATAATCACATTTTTATTATATATAGAATCATGTTATTGCAAAAAAATTACTGAACAACATCCAACATCCATTTCCAGTAATATCCTCAGCAAGGTAGGAATGGAAAGCACCATCCTCATCTTGATAAAGATAACTCATTAAAACCTATAATTACCATATTTAATGTTAGAGTGAATGCTAACTCTAATTTTTGAAAAAGGCAAAAAATATTTACTTTACAACTTACATTTAACAATGCAAAGGAGTTATCATAAAATCAACAAGCAACTATGAACCAGAGACACTCTATGGGAGGTGGGGGATGGAGAAAGGAGAGATTGGGGTCAAAATAAGGGGGTTGTAATTGTATGGGGAATATAAAAATAAAATTTAAATTAAAAACAAACAAACTCCTGAGACCCTTTTTTCTCTTAGGCACTTTGTAAATGGGTAAACTTATCCAAGTTGAAAGTTCTGCACTGTGGCTATTGTAATTCAAGATTATCTCTGGTAAGGCTAACCAGCTCGGTCAGCCTGAAAACAAAATTTCATTCACCTGAGGCCTCACTTGCCCCAGCTTAAATAGGACCCAGTCAACCCCTCCACGTAGTCTGATCCCAGAACCAGTGCTGCTCTGACCAGGTCCAGGCCCGGTCCAGACAAAAATATGCTCAAATACAGTCTGAAAGCAGAACTAGGACCTGAGAGAGGATCCCCCCACCTTCAGAGACGGTGAGAAGCAGCCAGTTCAAGGAGCTCAACAGGTACTTACCTGGTTGCTCGGTCCTGCTGGGGCCTGTCGGGGGTATCCTTTGGAGTTCTCTTCTGACGCCAGAATGGTTTAAAGATAAACAGAGGCATAATGAAAATGTTGAATGCTTTTGTGCGAAATAATTTGAGTCAATAGCGTCCAACCTGGCAGAGAGAAAGGAGCTCTGAGAAGCTGTGCACAGTGAAAGAGTCAATTGTCACAGAAGGAAGAGAGACGAGGAAGGCAGGTTGGATATTACGAGTTGCTTTCCTTTAGGGGATGTCTGGGGTCGGTGGGGGCAGATTCCATGACTAGTGCTAATCAGGTGACTCCCGGTCGATTGGTTTAGGATCCGATTTCTGGGAAAATTGAAAGAATAAGTCTCAGTTTGGTGATATCAGGCTGAGCATTTGGGGTCTGTTGTCGTTTTTAACAATTGTTTTCTAAACTGGGGAAATACGGAATGAAATTTGTTTTAATTAGGGCTGTTTTGGTAACTCTGGTTAAGAATCACGCCTTGTATGTTCTGAATATTTAAACCTGATAAAGAATAAGTTATTCATCAGTTAAAGAAACAGTAAAGCCGTCTTTATTCAGGGGCACACCTATCATGATGGGTATAGAGATTCCTACAGTGGGGTTCAGCAGCGGGGAGAGAGTATGTGCAGTACTAAATATAGTTAGGAAAGTGGAAACTTATAGCCAAGGAGCAGGTGGGGGTCATGACTGGAAAATTACCAAGAGGAAACATCAGGGGAGGGGTGTGGGGATTCAGGCTGAATTGACCTGAGAGGATTGTTGCTGAAGGCAGGCCAGGACCATCAGATATCACCTGGGGGTAATGGGGGTGAGGAACCCTATCGGATATTGATTAGATACCTGTGATCTGAGTGTGGGGAATTTTGGCTAAATCAACTGAGCAGGACTCATGCTAAAATTTGCCTCTTGAGGACATGCCCGAAGACAGAGCTCAGAGGAGGCTGACTAGAGTTTGGTCAAGGAGAGAAGCTTTGTCTCACCCTCCTCAGTGGGCACCTCAGAGCTTAGGGTGGGTACTTACAGTAGCCAACAATAAATCAAGAAAAGTGAAGAGTAACCAGAATGCTGGCTCACTGGAGTGGATTTGAGCCACAGGATTGTATGGATCAGCTTAGACTGAATTATGATGCAGTAATAAGCAACCATTAGATCTCAGAGGAGAAACATAAGATTTTTCTGCTCATGTTCTATGTCTAGTAGAGGCCAGCCAGGGCCTCTGTTCACCATATATACTCAGAGACCCATGTTGAGAGAAGTTTCTCGATGTATACTGCCTCTAGCCCTCTGTCTCACTGGGCCAATGCAAATCACCTGGCCCTCCTGGCCATGAAGGTGTTATTAGCTATGTCCTAGGAAGGGGAACAGCAGTTTTGTGATGAACCCAAATGACTGTGGAAGGGAGGGGCTCACCTGAGCCCTTAGAGATCACTCTGGCCTGGATTCTGATCTTGAAATTCATTTCTGCCTGTTCCTATTGCTGTCCAGTCTCAGAGGTGTCCCCTGGGAGCAACCTGGGTTACACCAAGTGTTGTGTCAATATCCACCTTCAGTAGCTCCTGAAAGATGACTATTTATAATATAAAATGCACTATTTTAGCATTATGAGTAATAATCCCAGGATCCTGGAATGAGTGGGTTTAAAAATCCAGGGGTCGTTATGGTGGGATCTGAAGAGGTCTAAACCTGTTCCCCTAATCATATACAGTATTCCAAAAGTATGATACCTCAATAACGATAAATTTTTAAAAATCTAGATTTTACTAATTCTGAATACAAGAAACATGTGCAGGAGTAAAAATGATGTTCCTTCAAGTAGTTTTTTGATTCTAACCAAGAACACTTTAGTTCTCGTGGAGTGCCAACTCTGAGAAAAGCTGAGTGCTTTGTAGGTATGTGAAGATGAACAAGATACACATCTGAAAGACTGGTATCTAACCAGGGAAAAGTCAAAGTTTAATTTTCAGTACAGATGGTTATGTTACCATATCACAAAATGCGATACCTAGTACAGATAAAGTACAATGGGGGTTCAGAGAAGGAAAATGATTAATAAGTAAATTATCATTTTGTTGAATTTGCAGGGTAACGAGACCTCGTATTAATCAGTCAAAACCATTGTGTTTATGTTTCTCTTCATCTTACACTTGCATTCTTAGGCCTGATTTGATCCTGGGACAAATTATGACAGTGATTGAGAGGTGTTACAAACCTGTTGCAGGGGGAGGATGTTGTAGTGGCAGAAATGGGCACAGTGCAGGTTTTCTATGACTCAAGCAGATGGAGTAAAGGAGTCCTGGAGCTCTCAGTGGCTTTTGCAGGCTTTTATTGGGATTTTACTGGGTACACAGCAGGCAGGGTTGCCAGGGGGCTGGGAGGCAAGTCTTCACTCTTTCTGGCTCTCCAGCGTTCTCTGGTGGTCTCTGCTTCTCTTTCACTCTCATTCTCTGCTTCTTTACTCCTACTGGTGTCTCTGTGATGCCACCCTTATAAGCCCAGTCTTAGTCCACGTGCACCCACTTACGCATGCCCACACCCTACTCCAGGTGCCCGCCATCAGGCATGCATTTCAGACCACAAGGATCCATCATCAGTCCTAATGGCGGGAGGGAAGAAAATCTGGTACTTTTTTACCTTTCCCTATGGATGTCCTGAACAAAGTCCACAAACACAGATTTTATGAACCCCACCCTCACCCCAGACCAAAGAGAGCCAAGATACCATGGACTATAAATCCCATAATGTCATCACCACCGAAAGGAGGACTGAATAAGCAGCCAGACATGTGGACCGTGGGGGTCTTTGGTTTTCTGCCAGCTTTCTGCATGCTGTTGGGGTTCCAGATCAGCAGAACTGGTAGTGTTACAGGGCAGGGAGAGGGTTAGCCCAGACCCCGCAAACCTGCCTGCGCGAAATAGGTTCTGCCATCCGCCACATCAATGCAAAACATATGAGACTTTAACGGGAAGCAACTTTAATACAATTAGGAAACAATACAGGAAAGGCAAAGAATATAGTTTCTAAATCAAGCACCCAAAGTTACCCGTCCCCTTGTGGGTAAAAGTCCACCCAGGCAGGACTGGCCCAGAGAAAGGCCTGAAAGCCTGTCACAAGTCTAAAGTATCTTCCAGTGGACACCCACAGAAAAGCATCAGAAACCACCAGACAAGTCTGGAGGGAAAAGAGCAAAATCAAAATCAAGACAAAAACTGCCTTGGTCACCTCCCCACGAGTCTCTCACCCACATCTGTGTCACCCAGTCCACGAACAAAAGGCAAGTGTGGTTTCTTCACGTGTCTCTCAGCTCCATGTGCCTCCTCCAGGTCTCCTCCTGCCTCTCCATCCTGCTTCCTTCCTTCCTCAGTCTCCTCTACAGGTTCTTCTCGTTCTGCTCAGCTCCACCCTCCTTTTGGGTGGGGCAGGGAACCTGGAACCTCCCCCTTTCCTGGGGACCAACCTGTTACAGTAGAACACATTCACCAATTTATCCCTCTTTCTCTCTGAGTTATTTGTTTCATTTCCCCTTTTTGTAAATAAATCCTTTATTAACCTTTTTATACATGCCTGCAGTTGAGTTTCATTTTAAGTCTCTAAGCACAGGTGAGGACCCACACACAGTTGGGCAACCCATTTCACATTGGGGTTGCCCTATAACAAACCAATGTTACCTCAACAAAAATGAAAAGTATGTGATATTGTCTATTAAGAAAACGTTCATTTAGCCTAGTAGAATCTTGTTAAATAGCAACGTTTTGAAGCATTTGAAAAATAACCTGGGAAAAATAACTATCCGGTGGAATTTTGAATATCAGTTAAAACGAATATGCTAGATTTATGTATGTCTATAAGGATAGAAATCAAATTTTTCATGAAGATATCATGTTTAAGTGTTGCAAATGGTTAACATTTTACTGAATTAAGGAAGACTTTCTCACACACACACACACACACACACACACAGACACACACACACACAAAGAGGTAATATGAAAGCATGACCTTTGGAGCTAGGGTTCAAATCCCAGTATCACCACTAGCTATGTGACCTTGACTAATTACTTTTTCTCCCTGTATATCATTTTCTTTGTATAAAAAAGGACGGATAATGATAGTATCCTCTTACTAATGTATAAGGTTTGAAAGAATAAATCCCACTTAATAGTCCATTTCTTACAGGATTAAGTCTTTCCCCTTGGATCATTTTGATGTGTGTAGTACAAACATTGACTTCCTGAAATGTGTCACCTGCTGGGTGTCTGCGCCCAAAAGGAAGTGGGTTTGGTAATTCCTTGGATTCTGGAAGCCTTGCTTTTCTCAGTAAAGATCATGTTGAGTAGTAGTCTGTGCCCAGTAGAGCCTGGCCCAGATAAGTACATTGTAAGGACAAGATGACCACTCAGCACTTTCCCTGCCTTGTGAGGCAGGAGTATCTGGAGACTCCACCACATCATGTTGGCCTTGATTCTAATCTTGGAATTGATGTCTGCGGAGAACACATTGCCTAGCTCCTCTTTAGCACCCAGCACTCCAAATTCCCTTTAAGGTCTAATGTGGCTCGAATCCATTGTGCTAAATCAGGGAGGCATTCTGTTATGTGCTTCCAGAAAGTAAAGGTCCTATCGTACTCATCTTGGCAGATGCACACCCTCTCTCTTCTGTCTTTTGTTGGGTTTTCCTTTTCCCCCACATTCCTTGAATACAAAGTGGATGAACTTTAGGTGATGCTCTAGAAAACTTGTGGCCTGTCAGAAGGTGAAGGGGTGAGCACGAAGGCTCAATCTTTGTCAAATAGTTATGAGGATGAAGTGTTTTTGGAGTTGCTGGGTTCAGAGAGTGGGATCCTTGAGTTCACTACAGGGAAAGTTCACCACAGCTCCCCTTTTAGCGGCACTGGTGAATTTCCCAGGTGAGTTTCTCCAAGACTTTACTTATAGCCAAAAGGGCGGGTTTATTATAAAAGGGAGAGAAAAGGGCCTC